TTGCAAACTGCAAGCAACATGAAAAATACATCCTAACAGCATACTTCGATCGCTTTCCTCGGCCATAGTTGTAGTTTTTGATATGTGATCTTGCAAGCGGCCATAAAGGTCGTAACACTCAACTAAACTGAAGTTTTTCATGGCATGTACTGACTGCCACCACTGTCGACGAAGGAGTCCATTATGGGGCTTTTTGACCCCATTTCATCCTCATCCAAAACCGAAGGCTCGAAATGCTTGGAGTATTGCTGTAAATCTCGCTCTCGGTCTGCCGCGACTTCGGCCAAAAGGCGCGAAGCCTCGGACGGATTGGTGGCGCTGACAGTCGGGCGCCGAAGAGTCGCCATTTCTTGGGGTTTGAGGATGAAGGGAATGGGGGCTGGGTGAGGCAAGCGCAAGAGGGGGAAAGGAGGAACAGGATGACGCAAGTGTGCAAGAATGGGACAATACGCAAAAGGAAAAGGGTATGCAAGTGCATCAAGGAGCAGGACAGGGATGGATGTGGGCTGGCAAAGTTTGGGAAGCGTTTATGTAGTACTTTGCGGCCTTACCCTTTGGAATTGACTCAATAATGTGTATCCTGGGGTGCCAGATGTGTGATATCGATAGTTTCTTTGTTGTTGGCGATGTAACCGCTCATTTCCGTAGTCGTACGGTCTTCTCGTAATTACTTTGTCCCGAGGAGATGGCGTTAAGAGTAAGCTGATTTGGGAGCAGGGGGCAATCAGGTTACTGTGTCTTCGTGGGATCAGAGTAGGGAGCGGGCGAAGGAAGTGAACAGTAGCGAAACAATGGTTTACGTGGTATCTTGCGTATCTTCCTTGTCCTCTTTCTCTGTTGCAGCTGTGTGGACGTGTGCTTTATACTGATGATGTGTTGGCAAGTTGTGTTAGAATATGTCGTGCACAAGAGCACGTGATATGTTGTGATGAGCACTGAGGTTGCATTTGATAATCGTTGCATTTCAATATAAGTGTTTGAATGAAGAGACGCGAGAGGCATGTCCGTTGGAGTGAGGGGTCGTGAGAGATCCGAATTCAAAATTATCATAGGCGTAGTAACTCCAAAACTTGATTATCTCGCTCAGTAACGTCTATCTTTCTAACAATTGGCCCGTATGTACTGTGGTGGTGACACGTATACGTAGATACTGCTGTATTATTATATATAGCTTCCTTGTTGCACAGTTATTGAGTATATGCGAGAAAGGTCTAATGCATGAAAATAGATGTGACGACGTCACCTATTAATGCCGTCTCCCAATAGTGCCAATTTTGGGGTCTTACACCGGGCGGCACTAATGAGTAGGGCCCTCTGTACTGTACTCGCCGAATCGAGCACATTACATGGGCACCAGTATTTGAATGACAAGTGTTGAAAATATTTAGCTCTTTGCTTATTTATTCTCCAACCGGTGGGGATGCTTTAAGGTCTGTGAACGGTGTTAGGTGAACGCTTTCGGTGAACAGGATTGGGCTTGGAAGCCGCCCTGCGCTTTCACATGTTTTCACGCGCGACGGACGGATGGCAGCATAACACCCGGACCCGTGTGACACGTGGCACGATTTGTGTTTGTTCGTGTTTGTGCGTCTGGCCGGCATTAGTGGGAGGGTGGCATAAGTAAAAGCGGCACTAATGGGCGTGCCCAGCCTGTACAGGGGCGGGTCCCGCAATAGTGCTACTTGGAGTAGTGCCTCCCACGATTTAGTGCTATGCTAAACGCTCTGGCACGAGTTATTATAGTGCTTACACGTGTTCATACACGTGTGGCTTCAGTACAGTAGTAGAAGAGCTGCAGAATCGGATGTGCGACGGCGGGAAGCGGAGTGACGAAACATGTTTCTCTGATTAAGACCTCATCCGCTTTGTCTAAACGAGAGACCCCAATAGGCGGAGGGAGCAGCTAACGGGGTGTTTGGAAGACCTCCAGTAACTCCGGAGAAACAAATATGGTCTTCGCAATAGAATGAGCATATCATACGTTGGTGCCTTAAACATAAAAAACACCATATCACAACGAATCATATCAAGGCGGAGAGAACAGTTACGACCTTTTATTTCACTGTGTGACTTGGCTATTCGTGCCCTAATTTGTATGGCCTGTAGTCTATTCGTACGAAAGAAAGTCATTTCGGAATAGAACGACATTCTCTTCAAGTTGGCGCGAAAACTGCGCGCCATTCCCGAAACGACACAAACCCAGCCACGAGGCAACTGCTGACCTAACCATGCCAGTTCTTCCGTACTCGTGAACACATTCGCTTGTCATCGTCGGGTCCCATTTTCCCCACCCACTCCTCTTGGTATTGCCTTCACCATGCCTCCCCGTGGTGCGCCCCCATCTGCCAGCCGAGCACTTGCGCTACTGCAAGAAATCCAGGCTGCCCGTCAGGAAGAACTTGAGGCATATGATGACAATCCGATGCCGTCAGACTGTGAAGACGAGAACGACTCTGACGCACCTTTATACACTCGCTTCTTGAATGCCAACGGGTCACAAGGGATCATGGATATAATAAACTTTACGCCGAACGAGTTTATCGCGATTTGGGCCCATATTCGTGAACACGTCTATTCAAACTACAATACAGGCCGTGGTAGCAAGTCAGCCATAACTGGAAAAGATATGATCTTCATGGCAATGTGCGTGTTAAAACAGGACGCCAAATGGGATATAATGGCCTATATGTTCGGTATCAAACCCCCCATATTCGAGAAGCGCGTTACAGCGATGATCCGGCTCCTCTCGGGACACTGCTACAACAAATTTGTCGCCTTTTATCAGAACAAGTATGCCATGACCCGACTCCAGGCCGACAAGCGCACGTTCAACAAATACAAAATGTGTCTCTACGCATGCGACGTCTCCTTTCAGCAGTCTTATCGTCCCAGTGGTTCACTCGAGGAATCAAAGCGCTACTTTTCGGGCAAGCATAAACTATAAGGTTACAAGACGGAAGTTGCAGTCCTTCCCAATGGCTTCGCGATACACTGCAGCGCAGACGAGCCTGAGTCAGTAGCAGACATTGAAATATTTCGTCGTAATCTTGGCTTTCACCTTGATGCTGTTGAAAAATCTGTTGAGGAGCGAGCAATCACAGACATTAGCAATGGGGTTGATGAACATCCGAATCATTGGGCCATATTATTTGACAAGGGCTATCAAGGAATCCAAAGTGACATTCGTGCAGTAATGCCCATGAAAAAGCCCACGGGAGGAGTGCTCACATTGGAACAGCGTAGGGAGAATGAAAACATTTCAGGGGACCGCATTATAGTGGAGAACTACTTTGGAAGGCAATCTGCTTTGTGGGCTATCGCGGCAAACAAGTACAGATGGAGTGAGTCTCTGTATGATGGTATATTCAAGCTCACGGTTGCGCTTACAAATCTTCATATTCGATGGCATCCTCTGAGGGACGCCGATGGTCAGACTTATGAGCGCTACAGAAAGCGCCTCAAAGAAATTGCCGAGTCTACAATAGCAAAGCGGAAGAGAGCGCAGGACTCGTATCGTAGAAGGCGTAGGCGTAGGATGGAGCGCGAGCTTCGGGGCATAGATATGGAAGAAGGTGCGGGGGCATTGCTCGAAGAGGATGAAGAAAGCCTTAGTTGTTAGGATACTGTAGAGCCGCGATATTATCTGTCAGATGCGATGAGAAAGCTGTTGTGCACATTTTGTTTGTGTATGATCAGATAAATAAACTCTACTATCAGCTACCAAGTCTTTTCGTACGTGTGGTGATGACTCCGCAGTGTCCAACGCACCCACAGAATGCGTTAGAACTGCTTCGCAGATCTAATGCATACCAAGAGTAGCTCGCAGAGGGCCACTTTGCAAACAACTTGTCAACCATCATGGTACAATTGTACCTCCCACTCAACACCCACTTAATGATGGTTTCGGGTGCTTGTGATGTCTCTAAGTGATTGTTGTAACCGCCAAGCGGACAAGAATCTTCCTCACAGTAGGATCTCTTTTCACTTTCCGTCTCAGCAAATTGAGTAGTACCTACTCAATTGATAGTACCTCCCTTTATCGGCGTCCTGGCTGTGATGCACACTGAGATTCTAGACTCGCCGCCGTCGCACGCCGTCGGACGACTGCGGGAAGTCGCTACAGTACATATATGCTAGACCGCTGGGCTCCGAATAAAAAAGGACATCGATTCATCTTCTTCATCGCCCTGCAATCGCATAATTGTGCTTTGGCGCTTTCTCTATAAATTAGTGCCACCCACGCAATAGGAAGGGGTTGTCTCCTGGCCATG